ACTTCTCAAACATTCCGACTTCTCAAACATTCTGAGTTCTCAAACATTCTGAGTTCTCAAACATTCTGAGTTCTAAAACATTCCGAGTTCTCAAACACTCCGACTTCTCAAACATTCCGAGTTCTCAAACATCCTGAGTTCTCATACATTCCGACTTCTCAAACATTCCATGAAGGGCAGAAATGGGTTGAATCTCCCTTAGAGGAATGTAAATTACCCAGAATTGTCATGAAGACAGGGTTTTGTATGTCCACTAGAACATTGCTCATTTTCTTTATTACAATATCACAGCTCTGTCTATATTGGAGGGGGTTCCTTTATAAGAACAATGCTACGTCAAAGAAACTGCCATAAAACTATCGCAAATACCTAAACAACTTCTGTGGTGCTCGTGAAGGTGTGACATAAGCAAGAGACTTACCACCACATCTTGGGCAGCAATCCTTCTCATCCTGGATGGGGTTGGGGCAGAACACGGCAGGACATGGATTCCTGGTACACGCTACTTGCCCGTTGGAGCATACACAGGTGGAGCAGTCCTCGTTAAACTGTTCTCCTTGCTGGTAGGTGGCTCCTTTGTATGGACATGTGGTAGGAATCTGACCTAACAAAACACACCATTGTAGGTTGAGTGAGTAGGTTAACGGAGGTGTCAATCTTATGAAAGATTTTTGGCCTTGATTGGGGAAACAGTGTGACCCTTATCAGGAATTTCATCGGATATGTCTGAGGCAATTGCGTGGTCTTTATCTGAATGCTTATGGACAGGTTCCCATAGACAAGTAAATTTCTAATTTAAATGCCCTTAGCAAAGGAGAAAGTGCCTTGCTACTTTAAGAACAAAGAGCCAGCCCTACTGTCTATGAGCTCATTGCAGAAGCATTGACAAGCTAGCTCAGGCTGTGTCCGAAACAGGCTTCCAGGGCTACGGCTAGATCTATTGTCAACGCGTCTCCAAGCATTTTCAATGGAGTGAAGACCTAGACCTAGCTCTAGACAAGAGATGCGGATGCAGCCTTAGATAGGAGTTAAACCCATGACACCTGACTCAAGTTCAGCATGTGACCAACGAGCTTGCTATGATTGGCTGGCTGCCGTAACCATCGATAAAGCACTGGGCGACAAGACCCTTTGGTTCAACTCTTCGCTGAGGAGAAGCAAACCTAATTGTGACCAGCTTAGATCATGCCCCTGCATTACCCTGGAAACCAAAGTCCCAAATCAACTGGCAATCAAACGTTTGAAAGAACTGTCAACCAAGTTGATATTAATGAGTGTTGGTAGACATCAGACGAGTGGTGTGTAATGCATATTAGTGAGTATGGGCCGGGAGTTTCTTGGAGTTGGGCCTCGGAGGGTCGCAGCTAATCTAGGCCAACAATTGAAAGTCGCCATGGGGACACTTGAGTTACAGACCAGTGGAAGAATCTCGCCGTGTAAATCACTAGAAAACCATCCACATTTCCTCCCACGTAATGCCCATTTTCACCAGTTCACCTTGCTCTTTCCAATTTAAATTAAAATGGCATTTCCCCCAAAAAGGGCAAAATATAAAACTGTTACACCCTGCTTGCTGGCGACAGTGACCTAAATTATTATTAAATTAGAGGGCTTGATATTTCGATCCGAGCAGAATTTTTTCTCAGTGGCAAAAGGAGAAATATTCCACCAGGATGAAAACGTCGGGCCCTAAAACATTTCCAGTTTGAAAATAATTGGCTAACTGACACTGACTTTGTGGATTTGGTCGCATTTCTGCCAGTGGTGCAGTAGAACACAGTATACGTACTGGGGTCACAGGTCGGGCAACATTGTCCTGGGACATCGATGGGGTTCTCGCACTCCGGGGTGGGACACCTGATGTGCTCGCAGCAGATGGCCGAATCGTCACAGACGCACTCTACACAGATGTCGTCTGCCTTAATCCACCGGTCGCCGTGGCTGTACATGCCAACCTTGTCCATACAGGTGCGGAAGTCATCTAAACGTGGAATGTTGAAGGTTGTTAGTGTCCCAAGTCTCACACCTGTCTGAACAGTACTCGTGGGTCACAGTCAAGATTTGTTGGCAGAGGCAAATGGCTGTCTCCGACAATTTGTTTTTCATCTTTTCATGACACCAGATTTTTTTGCCAGGGAAGTATTCAGGCAACAGAAAATTTTAAAAGTGGGGGGGGGGCAGACACCATTCAGCTCTAGGTTCCGCAATTTGAGGTAGGAAACTGGAAATGTATCATCCCTGCACATTCACACTTGACATTTTTCCTTGAAATTCAAGGGTTTACTTCAACTCTAGATTGAAGAATAGGTCCCTTTTGCTTTCCCTCCTTTTTTTCAAATGTAGATCTTGGGCCAGAGCATCCCTTACCCCTGAACCGACTTGCACACTGTGCTATTAACACACTGGCATTTGGCCACACGACTGAAACTAGTTACTGCATTCCAACTTGTACGTGGTGACCTTCAAGAGACCCATCTGCTGAGTTGCAGTTTCTCAGGACCATCAGCCCCAAACTTTTCACAAGTCACTCCGTCATGACCCAGTTTTAACAACAATATCCACTGTGGAGTGGTTATCTGGGAGTGATGACCACTGCGTCCGTTCTTACCTGGACACTCTGGACAGCAGCGGCCTGGGATCTTGACCCTTTCGGTACTGCATGGCTCCAGAGGACAATCAGAAACAGAACAAGCTACGATGCCGTTGTCGCATTGGCACTGCTCACAGTCCGTGGGTTTCCATCTCTCCCCATCCATGTACAACTTGTTCTGGTAGTCACACACTCCCTCTGTGTTATCAAAAATCACCGTTTCAATATTCAACTGAATGAGTCCATGCATTATTTTATAAAAGTCCTTAATGATGCGCTGTTGTTACAATTAACCTTTTTCGGGTTAATCTTTTTTTTAATGTTCTGCTATATTAAAGGGTAAAGGCCGATTTGGTTTTATGCAAATACAAATTTCCATATTCATGAGCATAATTGGCATCTCATCTCAGGGCAAAACCTCAACCTATTACTCTGAGTCACACACAAACACTGCAGGAATTTTTGACTGTTTGTTATCCTAAGTTCCCTTTGTTTGGTGACTGATTAATGTAGAAGGATTTGGCAACTAGGCTACTACTTGTAACTTGCCTTGCTGGGAAATTTGCGTCCTCTCATTCTTGGGGCCCATAAAAAAATCAATCAAGAGTGCACAACAAGAAGCTGGTTCCTAGTGTGTGACAGTATGTCAGAAATGAAACTGCCCCATAACGGGGTACCAGTTATAGTACCTCTGCAAGTAGGACAGCAGTCTCCTTCTAGGACAATAGGCATAGGGCAGTCGGTCGGTGGGCACGGGGCACCAGGCTGACCGCACATCACCTCGCCCATGTTGCACTGGCAACGCAGACACTTATCAGCAGGGTCTTCAAAGGTCTCGGTGTTACGGTAAACCACGCCATCCAAAGTACACTCTCCCAGGCCAGTTGTGACTAAAGAGACATCCCAGATATAACTTTGAGTTCTCAACCTTCTGCAAGAGCAGGGCTTGTCGACAACATGAGCGTTAATGGTCTTATTACAAATGGAAAATTTCTGATTTTTTTTTAGTAACAGTTATATCGCACTTTCCAATCTTTTCAGTAATTACAGGAAGGGTTCCCACTGAAATCTTAAAACCAAATGGAATGACTTTTCCAGAACATTTCCATGACAAAAATATGACAATTTCCACGACATTAACACCAGTTTGCAGAGAAAAGTGGTTCATTATGAACTGGAAGACCCTCATAAACTGACGAGGAAACAGCCTGTAAATTTATCATTATTCCATTATCACATCAAAACCTGGCATGATCTTAATTTCCATGACTTTTCCAGGAGTTTTTTCCCTCTGACGATGGGATTCCAGAGCGCACTATTTTCCCCATTTTCCACGACTCTTTCATGACTGTCCAGGATAACTTTTTTCCTGGATTTCCCATGACCAGGGGAGCCCTGCTGTTCCATTTCCAGCTTTGGCTAATTTTCACTACTCAACCGACAAATAACTGAATTAAAAATGCACCCCACAAAAACAATCATTAACCCCTTCACGCCGGGATTCTTTTGACCCACGACTGCTGGGCTGTGGT